TTTTTTCTTTTTAAGACAGGGTCTCCCTATAGCTCCAGCTAGTTTGGGATTGGCTATGTAGACCAGGCCGGACTCAGTCTCACAGAGATCTGCCTGGCTTTGCCTTTCAAGTGCAGGGATCAAAGTCATGTACCACCACACCCAGCAAGCCTCATACTTCATACTTCTTGATATCTATAAAGCTCTCCCTGTATCCTTGTCTATTAGAGATGAAGTTGTGTAGATGCCACTATTATAGAGATTCTGGAGCATTTGAAGTTAATCTGTGCTCTATAGAGGTTGTGGCACCCATGTTCAAGCAGGTGCTGATACACATGTGCGTATAAGGGGCCAGAGGACTTCAAATGTCCTTCCTCAGGCACTGTCCATCTTTTTTCCTTTATTTTTGAGACAGGGTCAGTCACTGACCTAGAGTATGCAAAGTAGGCTAGGCTGACCAACCTGTCTCTACCTGTGCAGTGCTAGGATTACAAGTGGGTACCACCATACCCAGCTTTTTGGCATAAGTTCTGGGTATGGAACTCAGGCCCTTGAGCTGTCTCCCCCAATCTGTGGTTTTGGTTGGTTGGTTGGTGGTTTTTTTTTTTTTTTTTTCGGTCTTTTTGAGACAGTGTTTCCCTGTAGCCCCAGCTAGCCTGGAACTTGCTATGTAGACCAGGCTGGCCTTGAACTCACAGAGATTCGTCTGCCTCTGCTGCCTAAGTGCTGGGATTGCAGGTGTGTGCCACCACACCCGGCCTATGTTTTTTAATTGACTATAAAGTGCAGGTAAAGGGAGGGAATCCTCATTTGGAATTTATTTGATCTGTGTTTTGGAAGTAGCTAGAAATATTCAGGGACTATGTTCTGAATCTCGTCATTGTGGTTTTCTATTTTCTTCCACCCTTATGTTCATTTATTTATTTTCATTGCTTTGGCTTTTTGTTTTACAATACAGACATTTACTTATTAATATGATCACGTTCTTTCAAAACCATCTTGAGGCTCCATTAGAATACTGAAATAGGCAACTTTAGATTCTTCTTCCAATTTCCTTCATCCTAATTTTATTTTGTTATTTTAAATTTTGTATGTGTTTTGGGGCTGGAGAGATGTCTGAGCAGTTGAGAGCACTGTCTGTTCTTGCAGAGGACCTTGGTTGTTCCCAATACCCACATGGCGGATCATAACCATCTGTAACTCCAGTTCCAGGGGATCCGACATCCTCTTCTGGCCTCTGAGGGCATTACATGGCACAGGTGCACTTACATACATGCAGGAAAAACACTCTTACATATAAAAATTTAAAAATTTTTAATGTTAGCCAGGCTTAGTAGTGCATGCCATTAGTCCCAGCACTCAGGAGGCAGAGAGGTAAGAGGATCTCTGTGAGTCAAGGCTAGCCTGGTCTCCATAGCAAATCCAGGCCAGCTGTGACTACAAGGAGACCCTGTTTCAAAAAGACCAAAAAACAAAAATGTATGTATGTATGTATGTATATACGTGCCACAGCTGTGGAAGTCAGAAGACAACTTTTGGGAGTCAATTTTCTCCTTCCACCATGGGTTTCAGGGATCAAACTTGGTTATCAGGCTTGCATCACAAGTACTTTTACCTACTGTACCATCTCACCAGCCTTTTATCCTTATTGTTTGTTTGTTTATTTATTATTTATTATTTTTATGTGTATGAGTGTATTGCTTGCATGTATGTGAGTGCACCCGTGTTGTGTAATGCTGCGGGGATCAGAAGAGGGCTTCGGATTCCCCTGGAACTGGAGTTAAGGACAGTTCGTAGCCACCATATGGGTGCTGGGAATCGAACCCAGGTTCTCTGCAAGAGCAGTCAGTGCTCTTAACCGCTGAGCCATCTCTCCAGCCCCTTGTTTATTTATTTTTTATTTTTATTTTATGTGTATGTGTGTTTTGCCTGAATGAATATAAGGGCACCTGTGTGTGCTGTGCCCTCGGAGGCTAGAAGAGCATGTCAGATGCCCTGGAACTGGAGTTACAGGTAGTTGTTATCCACCATGTGGGTGCTGGGAACTGAACTGTGCCCTCTGCAGGAGCAGCCGGTGCTCTTCACCCCTGGGCCAGCTCTGCAGCCCCTTCATCCTTATTTTTAACTGTCTTTGTCATTCCAGTAGCCTCCTTTTCCTAGATCATATTATATTCAGGATCTCTGCCCTTTTTATAATTCTCAAATTCAGTCTCCTCGTCCATTTACATTATATATTCAATCTTTCTTTCAGAAGCTTTTTCTTCATTATATAAATCTAGTCCAAACAGTGACCTTCATTAAACAAACAGTAGTAAGCACAAGTGTAATCAGATGAAAATGCAGGCGTGGTGGGGGGCATGCTTATGATCCCATCATTTGGAAGTCTGAGGCAAGAGGATCACTTCAAGTTTGAGACCAACCTGGGCAATATAGTAAGTTGGACTAGAGTGAGACCCTGTCTTCTACAACCAAAAATAAGTAAACAAATAATGTGAAATAAAATGCTCTAAAAGGCTAGGGATGTTATTATGTAGCAAAGGGCTTACCTCATACAATGCCCTGGTCCTCTATCACTGAAGGAAAGAAGGAGAAGAAATGCTTAATGTTTAGATCATCCCTTTCTTCTATGTGCTTATCTTCTTGGCTTCCATTTCCTCTTAACCCTAGTTGAGGAGCCTCACCCAGCTCTTCCCTCTCTCATTGTTTGCTTTGCCTGTGAACACTTTTAAACTTTGGTGGTTTCTGTTTGAGAAGCACTGTTATCACAGGGCACTGTACTGGAGACCTGAACTCTACTTCTGACTCCATTGCTGTTGTTGAGTAATTCAGCCTCTCTGTATTTCAGTTTTCTAATCGGTAAAAATATTACTAGGAAGATGGTTTTGATGTTAACTCTTGCTGTGCAGTCATGAGGATCTGAGTTTGGATCCTAGCAACCACAAAACAAGACTCAAGCCAGGCATCCCACACATACCTGTAAGTCCATCTTTGAAGGGGACACTGAGGTAAGAGGATCATTGAGGCTTCTGAGACCCAACCCAGGTCCTTAACCTCTGAGCCATCTCTTAGGGCCTATCTTTTGTTTATTTTTCAGACAGGGTCTCACTGTGTAGCTCTGGCTGCCTGGAACTTGATCTCACAGAGATCCATCTGCCTCTGCCTCCAGAGTGCTGCTGAAGATTTGAGCTCTTGATTCTTAATAGTAAACCACAGGTGTCTGGAAGGAAAACCTAGAGGACAGTGGCTCCTGTGGCTGTTCATATTTGTTATTTCTCTAAAGCCCATCTCTTTTCAAACTCATGGTCAATCTATTGTTGTCTTGGACTTTGTGGTACAACATAGCAATAACTGGGGTTTCCCACTGGGCCTAAGTAACTGGTAGATTTTTATTTTATTTTATTTTTTTTACTTTCTCTGTTCATTTATTTCTTCCAGTTACAGTAACCATGTCTGAACCTCTTATTCCCAGTTATGTTTGTGGCTTACTTACATGTACTGAAAGGATAGGGTAAGCAGGAATGGGAGACCACGTACATGGTGACAGGAGTGGAGGGCAGCCTGGGAGGTTATCTCCAGACCTCCTTAGCCCCACTTGATAAGAAGTTGAGAGACAAAGACAAATTATGGGTTAGCGCCAGAGCTCTTGGGAGCCTGGGCATTTGGTTGGCTACAGAAGAAGCACCAATGTCAGTGAGAACAAAGGGGTGAGTTTGAGTTAGGGGAGTTATTAATCATTGAGAAAAACTGCATTGCAAGGAATTGGGTAGTCGGAAGACAAAGTGATTGAGACCAATTTAATGGACATAAAGACTGTGGGTGTGTGTGTGTGTGTGTGTGTGTGTGTGTGTTACTGAGGATCAAACCCCAGCCCTTGTGAATGCTAGGCAAGAATCCTACCTCCAAGTTACCTTCCAGTGCAAGATTAAATTAATAATACATGTTTTTTGCCTTCAGAGCACTTCAGCCTAATGAAGGAAACATTTATATAAATAACTAATAGTGATACAAATAATTTCTTGCCAGGCATACAATAAGATAAATTTTCTGCCGGGCATGGTGGCACACGCCTTTAATCCTAGCACTTGGGAGGCAGAGGAAGGCAGATCTTTGTGAGTTTGGCTCTAGCCTGGTCTACATAGTGAGTTCCAGGACAGCTGGGTCTACAAGGAGACCCTGTCTCAAACACACACACACACACACACACACACAGATAATTTTTCTGTAAGAAGATGAACAGGCAGGATGTGGTAGCATAGACCTTTAATATGAGATAAATTTTCTGTAAGAAGATGAACAGGCAGGATGTGGTAGCATAGACCTTTAATATCAGCACTCAGGAGGCAGAAGCAGGCAGATCTCTGAGATTAAGGACAGCCTGGTCTATATAGTAGTAAGTGCCAGACCAGCCAGATCTACATAGTGAGACCTTGTCTCAAAAAAAGAAAAAAAATGCAAAGGAGGAAATGAGGGGGATATAGTGCATGCTCAGTAGTAGAGTACATGCTTAGCATATGTGTTGCTAAGACCCTAGGTTGATCTTCCAGTATCCCTTTCTCCCACTGAAAAGATGATGAAAAAACTTTGTGGAGAGTGTCATCTGGGATTGGCATCAAAATTAAGAAAAATGGGGCTTGGGAAATAGCTGAATTATTAGTGTTTGCCTGTGCAAACATGAAGACTTGAATTTAATCCCCAGATTGTTGGTGGGTACTTTTTACAGTTTCAGTACTGGAGATGAGATTGATGAGATTTTTTTTTTTTTTAATCTTTTTGAGACAGGGTTTCCCTGTGGTCCCAGCTGACCTGGAACTCACTATGTAGACCAGGCTGGTTTTGATTTCATAGAGATCTATCTGCCTCTACCTCCCTAGTGATGGGATTGCAGGCGTGTGTTACCACACCTGGCTAATTTCAGTAGTGGCAAGGCAGAAACAGGCAGATCACTGGGGTTCACTGGCCACCTGTAAGATATCAAGGATATAATGAGCTCAAGCTTCTAACTTCGCCACCTGTTTTTACAGAATCCTCACCATGGATGGGCTTGTTGAAGTTATAAAGCGACGACGATTCTATGAGAAGCCTTGCCGCCGTAGACAGCGGGAAAGCTATGAGACATGCCGGAGGATCTACAACATGGAAATGGCTCGAAAGATCAATTTCTTGATGAGAAAGAATCGGGCAGATCCATGGCTGGGCTGCTAGGACTTGTGGATAGGAGGTCCACATCCAGTTGTATCTCCAAACCCCTTTTTATCCAACCCCATTTCCTGTTACCATTCTCTACAATAAACTCAGTCACGTGTATTTTACATATATAGAAGTTATCTCATTAGTTGACAGTGGTCCTTCTGATTTATTAAATGAGAGAGAAAAAAAAATAAATCCAAAAGTAGTATAAGTAGTTGCCAGGCCTAGCAGAGGGGCCAATCAGAAATTATGTTTAATGGATAGAGTTTCTATTTATAGAGTTTTGAAGAAGTTCTAGAAACTATGGTAGTGATGGTTGCACAGAAAATGTGAATGGGGCTGGAGAGATGGCTCAGAGGTTAAGAGCAGTGACTGCTTTTGCAGAGGACCCAGGTTTGATTCCCAGCACCCACATGGTAGCTAACAACCATCTATAACTCGAGTTCCAGGGGATCTGATGCCTTCTTCTGACCTTTGCAGGCATTGCACAACATGGGTACACTTACATACATGAAAGCAATGCACTTGTACATACACTTAAGATGAAAATAATAAAAAAAAATTTAATGTGAATATACTTAATACTACTAAGCTGTACACTTAGTTAAAGTTGTATCTCTTATTGGTATTAAGAATTTTAAAACCATTTTCCTGGGGCTAGAGAGATGGCTCAGTGGTTAAGAACACCGAATGTTCTTGCAGAAGACCTGGGTTCAAATCCCAGCACCCACATGGCAGCTAACAACTATCCATAACTCCAGCTCCAGGGGCTCCAACGCCCTCTTCTGACCTCCGTCGGCATTGCATGACACGGGTGCACTTACACACATATAGGCAATACACTCATACACATAAAAATAATAAATATAATAAAACCCAATATTTTCAAGTCCAGGAAAGGCAAGAAGCATCCCAAAATGCAGTGGAATGTATCTTCCATTTCTGACCCAATTTTTATGAACCTCAAATCAAAATCTTACTGGAAAGGCATCTATTACTCTACTGAACTACCTTACCCCCAACTTTTGAATAAAGAGGCGAGGTGTGTGTGTGTATTTTAAATTCTGCCCCTAAAATCCCTAGGTGCCAAACTAGAGGGATGGAATCCTCATCTGGAGGAATCCTGAAGACAAGTATGAGAATGCTCTTTGCTATTTTCTGTCCTTCAGTTTTCCTAGAGAGGCTGGGGGAAGGATAACAGAGAAAAGGCAGTAGAGGATGGTGAAGCAGTGAGTGGATGGTAAGAGGGAAATGGGGAGCCTTAGGGAAGGAAGGCTTCAGGAAGGCACAACTTCTGCATCCTAGAGAACTTGTTTGAAATGCAAATAAATGGTGGGCCCCTACTGCAGATCTGGATTGGAAGTTTAAGTCCAGCAATCTGTTTTGACAAGGCTGCAGATAATTCTGTCCTGAATGTACTTGTCTATTTGGTGAGTCCTACTGTCAGCACCTGTCCACAAGTGTTCCAAAGTGCACTTCTCTGACCACAGGAAGAAAAGCTTCGGATCTGCTCTCCTGCTATCTGCTTCCTCTTCTCATGGTCCTGACTGCAATACTTACAGTATTTGGAGGGTTGGCACCAACCTCTGCTGGCTGGAGAATGCCAAGATGCAGGATGGCTAGCCCACCCCCCACCGTGGGTGCAGCCCCTTCCTAGCATGGTATTAAGGCACATAACTTAAGGTTGTTAGTGTATAAATGTTGCCCTCTTCTGGTAAGACACTGTAACTTCGATTTCAGCCTTAATCTTTTGTTGGTTTTTTAAAAATTAGGGTCTGGCCTCAAACTCGACTACAAAATCCAGGCTGGTCTTGAACTTGCAGACTACCTACCTCAGCTTCTCTAAGGATTACAGGTGTGTGTCTTTCTAATGGCTAATGCTGTTGAGCATCTTTTCATGCCTTTGCCATTTCTCCCTCGAAGAACCTAGATACTCAAGTCAGACTAGTTTGGATTGTTTCTATTGCTGTTGAGTTGGAGTTCTTTATATTCTTTCCACCCTAGTCTTTTTTATCAGATATATGTCTTGTAAATGTTTTCTCCCATTCTATGGGTTGCCTTTTCATTCTGTTGATACTATCCTTTGATGTACAAAAGTCTTGTTTCTGTGTTTGCTTACATACTTGTTTGTGACAGGGTCTTAGCTATCTTGGAACTCACCATCCTCCTGTCTCAGTTTCTCAAGGGCTGAGATAACTGGCATCTACCACAATGCCTAGCCAAATGCACAGAAGTTTTTCATTTCAATGAAGTCCACTTTATGTGTTTCTTTTTGTTGCCTTTTTTTTTTTTTTTTTTTTTTTTGGTGCCACATGTAAGAAGTCAGTGTGCTGTGCCTCCGGGCATAATGGCTCACGCCTTTAGTCCCCACACTCAGGAGGCAGAGGCAGGCAGATCTCTGAGTTCAAGGCCAGCCTGGTCTACATAGTGAGTTCCAGGACAGCTGGGGCTACAGGGAGACCCTGTCTCAAAAAGACCAAAGAAGAAAAGAGAAAAAAAGAAAAGAAGTTATTGTCAAATTCAGTGTCACACTTTCTCTGCTTTCTTCTAAGAGTTTTATGATTTTGTATAGTTTTTAATTTTGAGTCTTTGATCCATTTTAAGTGAATGAGATTTTTGTGGAGTGCTCTGGGTTTCAGTGACTCATGTAGCCCAGGCTGGCCTCAGGCTCACTATGTAGTCTATACTGACCTTGAATACCTAACCTTCCTGTATTTACCTCTGTATAATCAAAAAAATTATAGAAACGGGTGTGGGGGGGTGTGCATGCTCATGCACACACGTGCACAATGGCAAATGTGGAAGTCAAAGGACAACTTTTGAGAATTGGTTCTCTCCTTCCACCATGTGGGCCTGAAGAAGCAAACTTGGGTTGTAGGCTTGGTAGCAAGTGCATTTACCCACTAAGCTATCTCACCGGCCCTGAAAGAAGTTAAAATTCTAAGATAGCTTCTTGGTGGTAGGCTCATCAGAAAATTTTCTAGGAAGATGGTAATTAGAATTTCCTATTCACATGAGATTTTTTAATCTAAAGGTTTATTTTCTGATTTTAAGAGAATTGTTGTTATGTTATCCAGCTAGCATCAACTCTTGGGCTCAAGTGATACTCCTGTCTCAAGCTCCTCTGTAGTAGATCCTTATCCGTAGGGACTATAGGTATGGACTACCATGCTCAGCTAAAGGCTAGGTTTTTCTTGTTTGTTTTTGGTTTTTGATTTTTAAAAAAAATATGTATTAGTGTTTTGCCTGCATGTATGTAGGTGCACACATGCCACTAAGGGCTAGGCTTAATCATTTGAAAAATACAAGTCAAGTTGGGTGAGGTGGTGCATGCCTTTAATCCAGCACTTGGGAGGCAAGGGCAGGTGAATCTCTGTGAGTTTGAGGCCAGCCTAGTCTACATAGACAGTTCTAGGTCAGCTGGGGCTACAGGGAGATCCTGTCTCAAAAAGACAAAGAAAAAAATAAGTCAAGCCAGGTGTGGTACACATCTTTAGTCTCAGCACTTAGGAGGTAGAGGCAGGTAGAGGTCTGTGAGTTTGGGTCAGCCTGGTCTACATAGGAAGATACAGGCCAAGCCAGCCAAGGCTACATAGTGACATAGTGAGACCCTCTCTCAAAAAAAAAAAAAAAAAAGGCCAGGCAGGGTAGCACAGGCCTTTAATCCCAGGCAGAGGCAAGTTCAAGACCAGCCTGGTCTACATAGTTCCAAGTCAGCTGGGGCTACAGGGAGACCCTGTCTCCAAGACAAAACAAGCAAAAAAAGCTGGAGAGATGGTTCAGTGATTAAGAGTGCTGACTGCTCTTGCAGAGGATCTGGGTTGGATTCCCAGCACCTACATGGCAGTTAACAACTGCCCATAACTCCAGTTCCAGGGGAATCCAACACCCTCTTTTGACTTCTGCAGGCATTGCACAAAACAGATGCACCTACATTCAGGCAATATAGTCATACACATAAAATTAAAATAATATTTTTTTAAAATTTTTTGAGGGGCTGGAGAGGTGGCTCAGCAGTTAAGAGCACTGATTGTTCTTGCAGAGGACCCAGGTTTGATTCCCAGCACCCACATGGTGGCTACAAACTGCCCTTAACTCCAGTTCCAGGGGACTCCAACCCCCTCTTCTGACCTCCTCAGCATTGCATGACACAGGTGCACTCACATGTAGGCAATATACATAAAAAATAAAAAATACATTTAAAAAAATTTTTTTGAGACTTTTTTGGGTTTTTTTTTTTTGAGACAGGGTCTCCCTGTAACTTCAGCTGACCTGGAACTCACTATGTAGACCAGGCTGTCCTTGACTCACAGAGATCCACCTGTCTCTGCCTCCCAAGTGCTGGAATTAAAGGCATGTGCCAACATGCCTGGCTTAAAAATTTTTTTAAAGAAAAATACAAGCCAAAAGTCACTATTCCTGATAGGGAAGCATAACATAATAGAATAAAGCCTGCCTTTTATGTAACACATTGGGGGAGCACAAACAAATTGCTCAACGTCCTCAGTTTCCCATGTACAGTACCTAATACCAACGTCTCACAAAATATCTCAGTGAAGTCTGTTGAGGTCAGCTATTCTAAGCAATTAACTTCAGGTAGGAATGCTGATCATAATAGATTAGCTTTTCTACAATTTCTTTCCTGTTGCAGCACCACTCCAACAGGATGTTGTGTCAACATCTGTGCATTTTCTGTTATTCATCCAGACCTGTGTGTAAATGGAGCTGGAGAAGCTCATAGTGAGGTATTCACATCTTGAAGCTGTTGTTTCCATTCTGATATATGGAGGTTCTGGACAAGCACACACAGACACACACATACACATACATATACACATACACCTGATTTTGGCTATTTTCCAAACATTTCTCACAAGCACCTCCTTAAAAAAAAAAAAAAAATCCTTGATGATAACCGAAGGAGAATTCTTGGGTCCTGAATGCTTTTTGAATGGTTACCTTTCTCTGGTGACTTTCCTGGAAGTCTGTGTCTCACAACACCCCACCACCACTGGCCCCTCTGATATGACTCAATCCAAATCACAGAGCACTTCCTGAGCCATCTCTCTAGCCCCAGAGTAATTTCTCTTACCTAACTGTATTTTTTTTTTTTTTTTTTTTTTGAG